ACAATACATAATGTGGATATATATTTCCAAATTATAATCTGAATTTCAATATGTGCCAACGATCAGATATTAGCGGGTGAGGCTGTGTTCACTAGTTTCTCGACATGATTGGATCACCACAGACTACCGGAAAGCCTTTTACTCTTCTAGAGATACTTCCGCGAAACACGTTTTTTAGAAATCTCGACTATAGCATTCCACCACCACCAATACGAGTCCGACGAACTCGATAAGCCCAGTCATTTTGTCTTCAACCTCGAGGTATGTCGATCAACTCTCTACCAAAACTTGTTTCACATTATTTAACGAAAACGCTTAGGAATTATCCAGATATTATTGCTCCCAAGAACTCATAGTAGTAGTAGTATATGCACTCCGTTGGTAAGTATGTACATACCAACTGGCCATCGACCTCCATTGAGGTCCTTCAGCCCAAAGTGTTCTGAAAGGATGTGTTCTGTGTAGGTTTTGTTACTAACTCTTTGCGCCATCATAGAAGCAGCACTGTTAATTGGATCGCAACAGTGAATCGTGCAGGACTATCCCTAGCCGATGCTGCAAAGAATAATTTGTAGACTGTAGACTAGGTAAGGTTAGGTTCAAAAGTGTGTGGGCCCATGTCAGGCCCTCCACTGCGGCCAATGGCCTATTGTGGCTCACCCTATGGTTATATTTCTCCCAGTATATCTCAGCTCTTTACGAAATCAAGGAGTATATTGGGATAACAATTTATTAGCAATTCATCAGGTTTTCTGGCCCTAATGTTGTATTGCCAAATGTTGAAAATCTGTTTCTGGCCGCTGCAGGGCATGTACATGAAATGTGTTTAGCCGTTTCATCCTTCTCCATGCATCCGATTTTATGCATGTGGTGTTTGCAGTGGCCAGTGAGCAAACCTACCATAACTATGAGATGTGCTCTACTGAGTTCTAGTAGTTTGTCGGAGTCCTGTTTGTTTCTTGTACAAGCAATGACTGCTTTGGAATGGGCTAGGGCCCGGTAGACTACGCAAATACTCGTCTTTTGTTGTCGGCCCAGGTTCTGGCCCAGTGAACGATGTTTTGCCCTCTCCCCTTCTGCTAGGTCGTCCGCTATTTTGTTCCCTTCTAGACCCGTGTGACCTGGTATCCAGACTAGATCATCGTTATTGCGTTGTGCCAGTCGGCACAACGCAATAACTCTGCAGTTCCATACTGCTCTGCATCAAAAGCACTTGAATTCAAATGCTTATTGTTTTACGTGGATGGTGTCGATTTTCCAGCTCCCTTGCACAAATTTCAGTGGCGTATACCTCTGTCTGGAATACCGTAGCTAGTTTACCCATACTGAATGAGCGTTTCACTACAGGGTTTATCCCGACTGTGGACTAGATCTGTGGTAAAGTTGGGGCGATTTGCTGATATCTGTCTAGGTGCGCAAGGACTAGTCAATGAGGCTATGGAAACCTAATACAAGCTGTGGCAACCCGTGGCGATAGATGAATGGCACCGAGGTATGGTGTCGCTAACAAGGCCCCTGAGAAACAAGGCGACATTTCATAGTAAACAGCCTTAACCCTGTACAGGGGGCACCACAGGGCTGAGCCCAACCCTTCCCCTGTTACTCGTAGTAGAAGGAAAACTTTTGGCTTTCTTCGTAGACGAGAGCAGGAATCGGAAGAGTAATCTTCTAGGCCTAAGTGTCGTCGAAGACATTGGACAGACGAACCTACAAACGGGGTGGAGTGTTCAGTGGGTGTATCCTGGAATCAGGGGCCTTCCACAATTTCAAATGGGGGATCAGACCCATATGATGTCAATAAAAGATGTCAACCACCTCGACGAAAAAGGAAAAAGAGTACTTACCAGGTCTTTCGATTTTGAAGCATTACTCCATAATTTCTCATCAGCATGCAAGGGTAGAAGGGTAGGTACCATCGGTACCGACTACCGATGGCAATTTATTACCAAAATAACCTATTGATTTGATTATGAATAATAAAATCTTGTTATTTTTATTTTTTATCCATCTGCGTATGATAAGAAGTGAAAATTGAATTTTTTGTATTGCCTTTCTTCAACTATATTCCTCGAGTAACAACAATTCGTCAAATTCTACCAACTATTTCTGAATGTACCTTGGTAGGTTCATTTGGAACTATGAATTCAACTGCTCCGTCTATCTTTGCTTGTAATTCATGATATTGTTAGGATGTAATATAATGCACTCAGATCGAACTTTTGAGAACGGGCAAACCTACCTATAAAGGTAATTATAAAACTTTTGTGAAAAATTGGAGCAGAGTATAATTCAAAAATTGTTCACTCGCAAATAGTGAATTCAGTTAACTTGTGAACGAATTGTTTGAGACATCCGGTCTTTTACTCCCTCTATCACAGAAATGTGGTCTGAATCCTCTGAAGGGCATCGTTAGGTGTAGGAAATTGATGAAGGGATTGACAAAAGAATCACTAGTGTGCTGCTTAGGTACACTTAGTTCCATTCACTAAAATCTAATTCAAAGAGAATCAGTACAACGATGACAATCATTAACATTATTCTTATAATTTGACAAAATATACTTACTAGATTAATATAGCATAGAACATTTGTAATTATACCTCTTATTAAAATACATGTAATATTCCCATTTAATTAGTGGATGGGAGGAGAAGAACTAACTTCCTGTTACTCCAACTCCCCAGATAGATTGATATAAGTACATTGTTTTTTCAGAGTTGCATTATTCAGTCTGGAACATACATTTTGGATACATATTTCAATATATTATATACTCTCTTAAGCGTCACCATTAACACACGACATTGTGGATCCATATTTTTGAGAGGCTGGATATCAAAAATACGGACCAAACGCCTGTTACAACAAATACGTTTACAAAATATAGTTTCAATTCGAACTAAGACTCTCAAATTAATTCGAAATAACGATAAATTTTTGATTCAATGTAACGAAGAAAAATATAAGTATATACACGTCAATCAAAAATAGCTGACTCCTTTTATGAACATCGCTAACATACAATGACCGCCAGAAACTGTTTACTTCACATTCTTTTTGGTGGTAACTGTAGGTATAGAACTATTCTTCAACAGCAATAAATATAATATCTCGTTAATTCGATACAGGAAACCTTCAGGATAGATATGTAGGAACACAAATAAAGGTACACAAATCATCAATAGCCAATTAGGCCAAAAACATTGGGGTGTCTGGCATTGTTTACGTTGATACGGCTCCAGAATATAATGCATCGATAAATACTAAACACCGCACAAAGAGGAATCGGTTGTTGAAGTCGCTGAATGTCTGAAGTTGAACTTATTGAGGAAAGTAATAGCACTTCCCAATGAATATTTGAAATACCATTTCGACTATTTTTTCAGTTAGTTTAAGTCTCATGCTTGTCTCGAAAACTCCTCGGAGATTCAAACCGAAGTATCCTAGCGTGAGAGATCTGGTACGTAACCTCTTTGCTACTGCACTGATTCAGCGTTTTTATAATCCGATCATTCTTTGAAAGGTGCTTCCTATTCACCAATATACTGTCTAGATACTACATCAAGACAATGCTGATCTGGAAGTATATTGGATAATAAACCGCACCAAGCAGAGATGAGATGCTGCATATATCTGCTTTTTCAGTAGTCCAGTAGTGCAGTAACAAAGTGATTGCGTACCGGACTTCCTACGCCGAATATGTTCGGATCCGATTCCAATCAAAGTAAAATTCATAATCTGGTTAAAATGAAAAAAAAAGCTAATTTCACCAACAATGAATCAATATCCGGCTGAAATTAGCCACAAGAAAAGCAAACTGCATTGTCCATTCCGAGAGGATAATCACGGGCCAGAAACGTGTACACCAATCATCCCATGTGGCAAAACTTCCCAAACTTCCTCAAACATCCTCGGACTTCCCCGAACTTCCCCAAAGTTCCCCTAAACCTTCTGATTTTCTGATCACTGACTAGTAAACCTTCAATCTGTGATTTGATATAATATGTTTAAAGGCAATTCCAGGACACAAATGATGTACATGATACTAACTACGAGAAAGAATTTGTGATGATTCCTCTGAGTAACCGATTCGATCAACTCAGAAGGTTACTAAACGATTTCGGAGTGTCCTTCTTCGAAATCTGATGAAAATGTCACTGAGCATAGTTCCTGTCCCTACTTTAGCTCACAAAAAACAAATGCCACGATAAATTCGCAACACAAGCCCTCAAGTCAAATATTCCACCACTGGATTCATTTGTCCTTTTCCTTTGGTCCTTTTAACTACAAGCGAGTAATCCGGTTTCTCTTTGCAGGAAGCATGTTGAATCTTCCAGTAGACCTTGATGGCAACTCTCTAGTCACACTACTACACAAATATTTGAGAGACTCAATGAACCGAATCCTCATAACTAGTTGCTCTTCGTACTGTTAGCGATTAGTCACAGTTCGATTATATTCCAAAATATATTGGAAAGCAATTCCAGGATACTAATGATGTACATGAGACTAACTACGAGAAGGAATTTCTAATGATTCCTCTGAGTAACCGTTGTGATCAATTTAGTGAGGTTCAAGACGATGAGAATTCGGAGTATTCTTCTGTGAAGTCATCCTCTTCACTAAATTCAAGAGCAAGGAAATGACTCTCTGATAAAAATGTCAGAGATTGTAGTTACTGTCCCTACTTCAGCTCCCAACTGAGATCGAGATCAAGACCAACTGGCTCAGTATCAGCAGAATTCTGTCCAGTTAATGTCACAGGGAACGAAAGCCCTAATGAATTCGCAACACAAGCCCTCGAGTAGTCTTCGAGATTCAATTTCTAATAAAATAGACAAAAATAATGTATCACTACCTACTGGTGTTGATGGACCAAATTATTGAAAATGGTGTCAGTGTCTTTGTTATCCGATTCCTCTGTGTCCAGTGCTTAGTATTCCCCAATACATTCCCTAGGCGCCGTTTCAACGCAACCAACGCCGATCAGAGGCGCCGATTCACTTCTCCTTCTCCTGGCCGACAACCGGACTGGCTTGCGGAGGCAGTGCTTTCAGAATAGCGTGGACCTCCTCTGCCACGGCAGTCAGAACGAACTCGAACTGCTGCTTGGTTGCCACCATCTTGGGCCGCTGGTCTCTGAGGTGCTCCAAGGTGGCCGCGATGTCGATCTCTTTTGCACCCTTGGCCATCCTGCTGAGCACCATGTCGATGAGGCAGTACGTGCCTGTGCGACCGGCGCCGTCGCTGCAGTGGACTACGATGGGACACGACCGGCCTCGGTAGGATTTGTTCACTTTTCTCCTGTGGACAGATCCCAAATTTGTTTCGTGATTTTGATTTCCGAAGATGAGTATACAAATATGCAATAAAAGTGTGGCAAGGGAGTTAAATGAAACCACGATTATAATTGGCGCCCAACGTGGGGTAAGCTACGACCAATCCATTATTGATCAGTACGGATTGGGGAAAATTATCATGATACAAATCAAGAGGGCTATTCCTACATCGAGAAGTCATTGAAATCAACTGACTCATGTTAGGAAGAGGCAATTAAGCTTGTCAGGCACCCTTTGTCATTTTTGTTTCCTTACTGTGTTCATGGTGGCCAGCGTAGCCTCGTGGTTAAAGCGTCAATGTTCTATCCACGTTGGATTGCCAGTAGGTGGGTTCGATTCCCACCAAGACCGCAAAAATTTTTTTGATGGCCTAAGAAAGTGTTTGGGATCACACGTTGAAAGGTGAGGCCCCCGTCATTCCTTGCTCGCACAAGTCTCTTGAAGAATTTTGAGGGTTACTCGTAAGAGAGCAACCGAATGATGGATAAGAAATTTTTTTTTATGTTGTGCCACGTGGAAAGAAGAAGATTACAGCAAGGTAAATCTCAGTGATTATTTAGATATGGAGAAGACATACCAAAAATCGAAGAAGGTCATCAATCTGACAAAAATATTATATCTTTGATTCACCCTTCGACTTATTCAAAATTATAAATCCAATATGGGATTTTATTATAAATCAATCTAGAAGTTAACGTGATAAGGAATGGGATAGATTGTGGCGGGATGAATTTCACCATGTCTATATGGATATCAGGAAGACAGATGAAGAATTGAAGAATTTCATCGGAGGATTGATGAATTAAGACACACGATACTCATTGTACTCAAACTACATTTTCAAACAGGGATACATTCAGAGACAAGTTATTCGCCTGGTGACGATGTCTCACTCACAAATTCCTTCACATTCTTTTAACAACTTGAAAAAGTTGTCAACCTCCACTAACAATGCCCGCAGACATATTGGCAATCTTTCAATCACCAGCAATGGCAGACAGAAGCTCAGTGAGCCACTAATAAACTACTATCAGTACTATCTAGACCGCTGATTCCATAAGAAAAAAGATATGCCTCTCACGAGGTCGAACTGGGGAACATAAATCATGCGCATTTCTGCTATTAATTATGACATATTATTGATAAGACAAGACTTAATGTTCGAAAAACAAGGAAACTCCTTTCCCCTCTGGAATGATGTTCACTGAAGCCACACTATACCTTTTGATAGTCAGCAATTTCAGCAGAATGTTGAGTCGGAATATTTGGAATGAATAGTATGTCTGCTCACAAGTATCTGTCACTTTCAGTGATTTTTTTTATTTCGGAATGAAAAATCAGCAGATTCAGTAGTGTCAGTTGGATTCGAGATATAGCCTTACTCTTGATTATGTTTCCGAACACCAAGAAACATGACTCGATGTAATGACCGACAGTTTGGGAGTTCCTGCGAATTTAGCAGAAACGTATTCAGGCGAATAATTCACGCGAGATTTTTGGGTTGCTGGAATATGACATATAGCGGTCTAGATAGTAGTTATATGAATGCAGTCAGCATAATGCTTTGTCGTTAGCCTTGATACCAATCAATTCTTCTCCAGATCTCGTTTATTCAGGAATCGGCTATTTCTTCGATTTTTTTGTCCAGGGAAAAACCTATTATCCCCTTTCGCACGATTCAAGTTAGAAAAAAATCTGTCATCTATAGCAGGAAAAAAATTGACAGAATTTCAATTATTGATGTCTTACCTGAATTCCAAAAGAGCTTTAGTTGAAGATGGCACTCCACTCTCGGGCCAGGACAAGAAGTGAAATTGAGTAACGGTCCTTGTTTCGCCTGTCTTCATATTCTTGAGGTAAAACGATCTGACCAGGTAATCGTCGCACCAAATGTGTTCACTGACCAGATGGACTTCGTAGATGTGATATAGTTCGGAACCTTCTTCTGGCCAGTAACGGTGACACATAGCTGAACCTCCCTCGGTCAGTCTGAAATAGATAGTTTTCAAATAAGAAATGTCTCCAATGAGATTGGTTATTGTGTACTGTTGTTGCAGCTGACTTGTTTTATTCGAAACTATTCAAGCTGAATGGCGTGTGTACGCTCTATTGCCCCGTTATCGCCATCTCCTGTTCTCTAGGATAGCCTCTCCCTAGGTCCCTAACCTTGCAACACAAGCCTCGATGAGGGTACTTCGAGTGGGAAGTGTTCGTGTTTATATTTTCGGCAAGTTCAAATTGTGATAATTAAGATATCGCCATCTTGGACTCCCGTTCTCTAGTCTAACTATCCCAGGTGCCTAGCCTTATGATAATTGCTCTGACTAGGACACCTCGAGTGAGATTGAATTGATAGAGTTTATGTTGATATTTGCAGGTGTGTAGTTCGTTTTGCGATAATTATATTCTAGAACACTACATCTGGCTAGAGGAACATTGCATTCCTTCCATAGGAGCCCGAACGTGTGAAGAATTGGTGATGTAGTTAAGTCAGAACAGTTATAGTACAGTTTTGATGAAATATAAATAGTCATCTCAGTCTAGGCACAACTAAAATAGTCATCAAGAAGGGTCTGTTGAACTTCCCACGAGCCAAAACTAGTTCAAACATCCTTAATACTTGGACATATTTTGTTCTCTCCTTCAAAAATGAGTGCTAAGTGAGGAGTTCCAAGTTTTGAACTGTTCAGAAAGGACAATGAATACTGCCTGTAGGTTAATTGAGGAGGTAGTACATTCATTATTCCAGATTTTTTGGGATTTTCTCTCGTTTCTATAAAATATATAAAAAAATGAAGAACAATCGTCAAAAAGTTGTATTTACAGTATACGTAGTGTTTGTGGAAAGTTTCATACAAGTGAAACCAAGAGACCTCTTTCAGTAAGGACGAAGGAACATGAATACAATATAAAAACATCCTGTAACTCATTTGATTGCCAACGTCACCAATTGTGACTGAGAACTGAAAAGTGTCAGGACATATACGAATTTGCAATACAAAAAATCCATTTTTTATGTTGAAAGCAGGAGCAAATTTGTTCCAGAAACATCCAAAGGTAAGTAAAAATCTGATAGTTTCTTTATATACTTTTATTTCTCTTCTCCAAACCTTTTTCAATACGAATTGTCACTGACAAGCAAATGCATTTTTCTTTTAGGCTCTCTGATAGGAAAATTCATTGAACGCAGTGACATTTTGGAGAGAATCATCTGATTTGTCCTTACTACACGTATATTGCGATATTATTCATATTTTTATTTCATATCAACGAGGAGAGAAAATCCCAAAAAATCTGGAATAATGAAGGACAATCAATACTTTCAAATCTTCCAGACCATCCCTCAAGGAAATTCCAAGGATATGTGTATATCCTTGGACTATTGACACCCCTAAAATATACATTGAAGTTTGTGTAATGGTCATTATGGAGGTATCATTTAGTGGTCGGAAAGAAATCACAGAGACAGTGAGGTCTTCTAAATCGCAGTGTCCTGGAAATGAATTATATTTCATGACCAATCTTAATTCGCTCACGTATTGCCAACTACTGGAGGAATATCCTACCTTGTCAACATCATGATGACAACAGCTCCCTGCTGTCAGATCAGCGAATGCACTTTGTCTAATCAAAATCGACCATTCTTTATCGAATTCCGAGATTTCACCAAATTCTGATCAAATTTTCTTCTGAAGAAATCCTACCTTGTCAACATGACGATGACCACAGCCCCCTGCTCCCAGATCAGCTGCCAAAAATCTGCCACCGTATGGGGCAAAGACCCATGGGTGGCGATGTAAGCAGGATTCCTCGGGTCGTGATCCGTAATACTCGAAGCGTTGACGTAATCGGAACCATTGGCGTTGGTGAGGGAGTTGAGAAGGACTCTGGAGTGGTCGTAGGGTACCACGTCATGGTACCGGTTCTTGTCCTTGTTCTCCTTCCTGTGAGCGATGGTGGTATCGCAGGGTTCGGCTACGTAGGCGCACAGAGCCACCCATTCTTGTTCCAGGCGGTCTTTGTTCTTCAGGTGGTCTTCCATGTAGGTGAGGACCATGTGACCTGTAGAAGAATGTAGTAGGCCAACGATGAAGTTGAACGTTCAGGTGAAAAAAAACATCATTCTTATCCTTATTACTATAAGACAGTCTTCTATCGCTGGTTCAAACTCGTATTAACCCAATTAGTAGTCACACTGACAGAAAAAAATCAATCTTCTCCAGATAATGTTCAATAACTCATAGGTCAATGGTGGACAAATGAAGTGATGTAACGATGAAGGTGAGAAAGAACAATATCCTTATGATGAAAACATTTTGATTTCTGAAGCTTCCTCCATTCACTATTTAACTTCCAACTAAAGATCGAAGATCACAAAGTGTCCTCATAGTTCTGAGAGAATATTCTGTTGTTTGTTCAAACTCGTATAAACCCAAGTAAAAGTTACTACAAGAGAAGAACTCAAAGTCATCTCCATAGAATGTCCAATCATTCAAAAGACAATGATAAAACAATGAAGTGAAGTAACGACAATATCCTTACATAGGGAACATTTTGATTCCTAGAATCAGTGACTTTCGAGACAGTGTTTACAACTTCCTCCATTTACTGATTCTAATTCAAGACACAATGGTAGACAAATGCATGGAATTGCCGATGAAGGTGAGTATAAACACCTTCGTGTGGAAAGAAAATTCCTGCAGGATCAGCAGCAGTAATTTATCAGAGAAAATTGGGAAAGATAAAGTAGAATAGAGATTTGGCATCTGGGAAAATGTTCAAGGTCTCAGACAGATTAAGATACTACTGGGTATATGTATATTACCACAAAAGCCTAGGCAAGAGAAACTTGGTAAACCAACAGGTGTCCTAACAGGGCACTGCTTTTTGGAATGATATCTTAGGGATATCGGCTTAGAAGAGCAAGATGCATTCAGCCTCGATGGGGATACGGACTGAAAGGAGGAAACCTCTATCTACATATTCACGGAATGTTCCCCACAAAACCCATAGGCAAGAATGGAGCTACTCCATCTGGAACCACCTCATATCCTCAAACTTTTTGGGAATATGAGACTAGAACTACGGAGAACAAACTCATAGGGTATAGGGAAAGACGGAGACACAATTATCTTTCTGGTCGCAGTGTATTCACGCTGCATACAAACCATACAATATACTAGAATCGTGCCAGGATGAATGCACCAGTATACTTAATGGAGTTTGATGTATGGTTCTGGAAAACATATTTTCTAAGGGGAAATTGGTGAACCAGTGCAATAAGCACCACATCATATCTCTAGGAACGCAGCCATACGTAGCTGTAGTGGTTGGGCAGTAATGGACATTACAATTGAATCAATAAATCAATGTTACCTGTCGATATATCCATGTTATGCAAAGCAGGCTCCTCGCTCCACGAGGAAGTGCTCGATCTGCTGGAGGGACTCTGTTCGGACTCCTTCGATAAGCTGGCGATCTTGCCGTGATCCCCAGCAGCTGGCTGCGTCTTGGTTGCCATCCGGGCCCTGCACAGATCCTGGTAGTCCTTGCTGGCCTCGGTGTCTGGTCTGGCGATGCCTTGCAGCTTCTCTCGCGACTTGATGTGGCGCACGATAAAGAAGAGCAGGACGGAAGCTACCATGATGGCTGCCAGGACGCCGCAGATCGAGTAGATCGCGATGTAGTACTGGCTGTCGTCTGTCAGGTGCTTGAACAGCACTTGTTGCTCGTTTTCCTAGCAACAATCCAGTTCAATTGTATTTATACCATGAAGTTATGTTATGGGTTAGATTGACATTGTCTCATTCCATACATACACAGAGACCGAACTCTCCGAATTAAATTAGCAGAGTATGTTTTTAGAGTTGAAATACTCTTGACAAACTCACTATGTTTTTTTGAATTGACTCGGCCGTTACTTTATGGAAATCCATGGCAAATGTAAAAACTTCACAAACGATAAGGTTTCCACAAAATTCTCAAACACACGACATGTTTCGCTAACACAGTAGCTTCGTCAGGTGATATACTGGTACAATAAACCAATCCAACCTTGGCTTGCTTATATATCTTACTTTCCCAACCTGAAGGATTAGTTACCTGTGGACAGGTTCGATAAACCTCCATTTCCGGAAATAAGGCACAATATCTACATTAGAATACGGTGTACCGGATTAATTTGAAAGGGTTGATAGCAAATACATATTACTCACTAAGAAAACCAATTCAACAGTAGTGAACTATTGAGATCTAATTGATCGTTAAGTAAAATGTCAGAATTTCTGAATTTGTTGATTCCTAATGATTCAAAATGAGTGAGATTCATTCCATTATTTTCTACGCGTAAAATTTCGAAATTATCATCGAAACTATTGTTGAATTTGTATTCTTTTTCAGACAATTCATCTTATGTTCATGAATGCGCTGATTAAACGTACGACCTGTCTGACCGATATATACCTTAGGACAATATCCACAGTTGAGTTTGTATACCCCTGATTTTTCGAGTTTAGAAGTTTTGTCTTTATTATTCTTGATAAACTCCCAACGTGTTATTTGTTCTATATGATATGCTACTTTTAAGTTCTGTTTATGTAGAAATGAAGCTAATTTTTCAGTTGATGATCCGAAATAGGTTGAGGTTCTATAATTTTGATTATTATTCTTGATGGTAGGATAAACTTCTTGAATAGCTTCATTATGAAGTTTCTCAGAAAGAATACTGTCTATCAAATTAACCTTGTATCCGTTGTTGACTGCAATCTGTTTTATGATATTGGGTTCTTTATTGAAATTTACATCCGAAAGAGGGACATTCACTAGCCTGTGTATTATACTGATAAGGGTGTGTTGAATTATTATGAATAGTGATATCAGTGTGGGAAGGTTTATGGAAAATTGAAAAATCATGTTTATATTTTTTCAACTACGCTAATGAATCTCATGCATTAGAGCTTAGAGATTGGAGGAGTTGATATAAACTATGAATTTATTTTCTCCTTCCATAAAAATAAATTCATGTTGACCTGCATTTGAAAAAACAGACAAAACATAATATTATTTCTTTCATTGAAGCTAATGCGTCAGGGATATTGAGATCTTTGAGACATACGGGTTGCCTAATGCCTATTGTCCGGCTGTCGATTTGCCTAAATTTGTGTCATTGTGTCCCTGCTTCCAGTTACTCGAGGTCGAACGACATGCTCAAGCGCATGCGTCTCCACCATCGGAGTTCGGGGAATCACTGAAAATTACTGTGATTCTACTAAAGTCTAGGGCTAACACCTTCTGAGGAGGCGACCGTACGGCGTAACCAGAACGTAAGAATGAAAGAATGTCCTTGACTAACAGAATTCCTCTAAAACCGCGCCAATTTGTTGTTTGTTTTGAACATAATTATGTGGAGATAGCGATTTTGACTCATTGATGAATATAGTGAGATCCGTATATTAACAATAATTATTAGAGCATACATAATTCAGCATAGTTGAATGTAACATTTCAAAAGATTTTATCTAGGCAGTAGCTTGGTGATGAAAATGCTTTTTGGTCTACAAAAATTATGACGAATGTTTCTTTATACTCCTGCTGATATAGGCGATGTAGATATTTGGATCAAAAAGTTGTTACTAGTTGTTCTTAACAATGTGCGTGGTGTAGGTAGTTTATAATATGCAGTGCTGTTTTTGTAGGACTGGAGATATTCGATGATATCAATGAATATATAGGTATAGGTATATAGGTATGTACTTTGCCACTGATATGGGGGCATCCGCGTTATGAAATTAGAGCAAACAGGGTGGCTCAACGAAAATATGACACATGAAGTTTATGAAGTATATAATAGCTTTACGTTCACAGGGTTTTCAAAAGTAAGTCGGTATACTATTTGCTAATTTAGATATAATTGATGGAGCTACAAATGTCAGCTGGTTTATGAAAGATGAAATCGAAAGAAAAATCGAACATCGCATTCACGAGTTATGCCGAAAGGATAATATATTTTTTAATGGGACACACCCAGTATACAAAATTTTCAATCAATAGGAAATTCGATTCGGATGAACAGGAACTGTCTCATAATGTTCAATCGTAAATTAAAAAATTACTATTTGCTATACGAAGTGTTTATAAAATAGGTATACATATATTCAGCACATAGATGAGATGGGTGCACCCTCACGAATCAGATCAGATTGATGGATGGTGTGATGAATGGGTAAACGATCGGTACCACCGATCGGTGGTAACGGTTACGGTAAAACCCGTAAAACACAAAAAAAAAATAGGTACCCGAAAAATACTAAGTTTTGTTATGAAATTTTCTATATTTATTATAGGCAAATAATAATATGTGTAATGCCAAAAACGAATTTTAGTCTCCGTTAATTACGAGTAACACTGTACAAAAAAGAATATCGATCTTCCTCCCCTCTTCGGGCAAATTCCACATAAATTCGACTCCTCAGAATGGACTGGCCCTAGACTCTCTTCAGTCTTCACTCTTCATTTTGGAAATCTTTATTTCAGTTTCAGTCGTTCCTTATCTTCCACCTGCAGACCTGCACCTAGTCACCTTGTTTTTCTTGGTCATGAGGTGAGATGAGATAGGGTGTGTTTATTGTTACCTATATAATTTTTTCAAGTGATTTGTTGTTACAACTGTTAACAACTAACATTTTTATGAAAACATTTAGGTTTCATTTGTGTTTGTGTATGTGTTTGTGGACATAGAAAACCTGTACATTGAACATTTCATGCGAAAAAATTTTGAAACCGATACAAATGAAGCACTGTGCGATAGTAGGTATGCGATGCAACCAACAAATAATCCGTTTGGTAAGAATTATTCTTCCTGTAATGTACAAATCTGTTACGTACATAATGGCGGACTTATGCTACATTTGCATAGTCCTAGTCTTAGTGCTAAGCATAGTATTAATTTTTGTCTTAACGATTTGAGGTATTTATCTAGAAACATTGAAACTTGATTTAAGCATAAGAGTCATGTGAGAATTTGTGGTTCTTTTTGTATCAGAGATGAGGAAAATTATCTATCAAACTAATCAACATCTGAGCTTTCTCATAATATTATTTTCGGAACATGTAAACAACGAATCATCAGCAATCAGAAATTCTATCTTCTATCAGAGGAGCATGCGCCGAATCCACATAACATAAGCATAAACATAAAAGTTCAAATTAATCAACTTTCAAGGTCGTTTCTTAGGCTTGTGCTTATGCTTAAGACTAAAATTGGTGTGAAAACGGCCTCATGTATGTACCTTTTTTCAACTTCTAGTTATGCTTAAAATTATGACTAAGACTATGATTAGGACTATGCAAATGTTGCATAAATCCAGCATAAGTTCGCAAGAAACATAATTGCCAATCCAATGGATTAACGTACGTGCCTGATAATATTTTGATAGGGTTTTTGATTTTTATTTTCCCTTGATTATATCTAAAATTACCACACACGTCAATGTTTGCATTCAACCTCGCATTCAACCCTAACCCAACTGGGTTCACCTCGGAGATTTCTCGTCATAAGGAGCCAAGCTCCAGGACTCCAGGAGATAACAAGCGTCTAGCTAGACCAGTGAATCTTTCAAACCTAAAGGTTATCAGAAGGTTATTCCTGTTTATAAGACATGAGGCAATTGAGGAAGGAAAATATCTCTTATGCATGATAAAGGAAAGTACTTTCAACCTAACTTGTCCTAAATTTACATTTTTTCTGAAGAGTATATTTTTGAAAAATTAATTGAGTGAAAAAAAAAATGACGCCTCGCAGGGATTGAACCCCAGTCTACATTGGGAGTCAGATACACATACCACTAAGCTATCGCTTTACTCGTAGTAGTCCTAGTTTCTCAATATAAAGAAGAGAGAAATATTATGTGTTGTGGGTGGCGTTACTTGACCTCAATGTTTGAAGATTCGCTGGTCAAGCTAGACGCTTGTCAGGAGATGAGTACATTCAGTATTAAGTGAAATAACCAGAAATAACAATTGAAAAAAGCGCTGCAGGTGACTTTTTTCCAATTTTCAAGGTCAAAGGCTTGTGAATTCGGAATTAGAATTTCTCCTACCTTTGAAACAACTGCTGATATCATATGAGTCAAATAATTGAAAAAAAAAAACAAAATAGATAAGTACCTATACTTATTTGAAGCATATATTTTTTGATTTTTTAGACTAATATAAACAGGTACAAAATCAGGTGAACACATTCATATATGTATACAGTGAATTAAAATTAATTTTTCTTCGTTTACACCGATTCGTCACAAACACAACAGCAGGGCACATGAAGATCAGAAAGCTCAGAAACTTAAATTGAACGAAACATCATATCAGAGAACATCGGATGACATCGATTCACGAGTGTTGAATGAAATTTCTTCATTTGCTGATCTTCCTTCACTTTTTTCCTCGCTTTTTTCATATAACATAATCATCTAATTATCAAATATTCACTATAAACGGGTCCGACTTCAAAAAAGAGGACATTTACCTCCCAAATAAAAAAAAGATAGAATACGAGGACCACAGCCTCCAAGAAGTGTACTTGTAATATGGAAAGAGTAGGGCTAAAACCAGCCAAAACTCCACACTGCGCGGAGACTATTTTTATCAAGTCATAGATGAATCAGAGTGTGTTTCATCTATATGATCAAGTACTATTTTATATGATGTGTTTGTCCCGTTAGAAACTGTTCATAAGCCAAAGGTCCTGGGTTCGAATCCCGTGCCTCACATACTTTTTTTTCTTTTTTCGAAGTGATTAATCGAAAAGAATACTGTGGAGACATTTATTATTGGGGCCGAGAGTGATTCGGCATTTCAATGAAGTTTTTTTCTGTATTGCTTCCGCATGGATTATTTGTTGCGCCCTGTCTGTGTCTTGCGTCCTGTCTCTAGGTGCTTCTATTCGTGTATAGCGGGTAGTATATTGAATTCGTGCCTTTACTACGCCGTGCGAGGCTCAGCATTGATAGTTTATTTCGCTAATTTCGAACATTTGTGCAAAAATCTGCTTATTATATATTATTATAAAAAACCGTAAAAAACTCGTTAACGTTCTTGATATAAAATCAATTGAGTCTATCCAGTGTCAAGTTCAGTGTCTCTATTCCGTGACAACTTGAAGATATGATAACTGGTAGAACTTAAAAAATGATAGTGAACCTAGCAACAGTGCCGGAGTGCGATTGCCTAGCTAGATGACGCTAACGCAGCCGGCCAGAGCATCTCAAACCATGGTGAGTAAAATCACACAATTTTCGAGAATTTTGAACAGATTGAAACCATTTTTTTTTGTCATTTATTGTTTCATTATGACTTTTGACACACCCCATTTTCAGAATCGCTTCAATTTTAGAAACACCCTGTATAATGGAAGGAGGTTGAAACTATCAACGTTTCCATCGAAGAAAACGATGGAGGCTTCACTTGGATCTGAATCCTTTTGTGGTTTCCCAGAGTATGAAGATATCCAAAAATTTTTCCTTCAAACCATAACTATTTATCTGACACCTTACTCTTCCTAGTACCCTTGCTCTTGTTTTACTATACCCCAATGTGTTAATATTTCAAAACAATCTCATCGCTCATGAAATGTCAAATTTCAAGCAATGGCTGCTTTGTCAAATAGATGAGCATTACTTGAGAAGAAATCAGATGGCTACAAGACGAAGAAAACAAAAATGCCGCTGTTACCTGTTACAGCTAGAAAAATTAGTGTATAACGGAATGCTAATTACCAACTCAGGCTTCAAACTTTATTCTCGTGGGAAATCACCGAGGAAATCACTATCATTCCGTGCTCGTTAAACAATATCCTAATTCTCCTATAGCCACTGAGTATTTCTGGCTTATGTTTATCGAATCGTTATATATAGGAGTATTAAGAAAGGATGGCATTATGGCATTTGAAAACATTACAGTCACGGAGAGCAACGCTGAGTATATACATCCTGCCAAGCTTGTAGAAGAATGCATTCAAATATTCCACTTACTCTGTCTCCAACTCCCACTGATGTAATCTTGACTCCTGTTATTTCTTTGATTCTATCTTTGAGCAACTCTATTTTCTTCGCAACCTCGCTGGCATTCAGACCACGGCTGTTTGGCCTCACTTTGAAATAAAGCGAATATGGATTGGTTCTAAAACAAAACATTCATCTGAAAAAAAAATGTATCACAACTCTCAGAAGAAGTTGTGTAGTTTGTGTGCCTAAATTGTGTTATTTACCAATAAATATTATTTCATCATTTGAAAAATAACAATCTTATGTTATCTATGAAAAATAACATTATTTTATTGTCATTGATGTATTATTTCATTATTTGAAAAATATCATTCTTTTATGGTCTTTGGTGTTCTCATTGTCGGAGTTTCATGTTTTGTCCCTTGACATTGACTTTGACTTATGTCAACATCTCGTCCACGTCATTATTTGAAATTATTCTCAGTGTTTTCTAACCCTATTAGTTCAAATTTAAACACGTGCAGCCTGTTGCCCCATCAATTTCATTGATATTTTTCTGTTTAGTAGCGTTTTCAGGGCACGGGTAACCCTTTTGTAAAAACCTGTTAATTTATGGTGCTATGGTATTTATGTTATTACCCTTTATTATATACCATTTCGGTATATAACATTTCTATAATATGAACTGTAGGATCTCTCAGGGCACGGGGCCCTTCATTTATTGAGAACCCGTTTAATTACTGATAAACTCGATTTTTCGACTATGGGCATTGACATCAATTTTCCAGCTAGTAGCATCACACTTTTGCAATTCCAAGTAAGTCAAGAACAAATAATCTAATTCTCTCACATCAATCTTTTTGTATTGTAGAACTTTTAATTAGGCTGAAGATGTTCTTTTATAAGACCAAAACATATTCCGTCTTTCCACTATTAAACTTTGTAGATATGACTTCGAGCATTCCTTCCTCCCTTCCTTTGGATTTTTTTTATAGTTGTAGTACACCTCTGTGGAGGCAAAGATAGCTGAGGATATTGCATCTTCGGAAACTAATTGAGAACAATTATTGGTGAAGTTGTTCATCTCTCAGTTGTAGAAAAAATGTAATTTGCAACACGTGAGTATATTGTTTTTCTTATACTCGTAGAGTTGTCAACATTTCCTACTCGTGAAAAATTACAACTTCACTTACTTGTTACATAAACAACTATTTTTTCCTTCGATAATATTAGTTGAAATCCCAAAAAATCCCCAAAATATTCATAAAGCTGTTAACCTTCCATCTACGAAAGCGCTAGGCTCCAGATGCAACAAACTCGAGATGTTTCCCACGATCCTGTCTCCTTGTTTCCATGCTTCCAGGCCGTTTTCGTAACCCACGTACACGTAGTTCAAGTTATTTTCACCCCTCAATTCGTATTCTGGATAAGGATGGGCACCTGGAGGACCTTTCTTCATCATGGATGGAATAGCGGCGCTTTTCGCAGATCTATGCTTGTAATCTTCCGCTACAATAAACAATGATGGAATGAGAATAATACAGGTTGAGTCATGAGGAACTGTACAAACTCCTACCACGAATAGAGGCCCTTAAGGGGAATACCTAATGACCATCAGAAAGTGTGTTTTTCTCTTCTTTACCAATATATTATAGGTGAATTATGAGATTTGGCAAAAACATCTTTTGGTCATTACTTTTCAACAGCTCCTTCAATTCGTCTGATTTTTTCATGGAATATTTAGATACTACTATCCAATTGATTGACTTGTTGAGAATCGGGAAAATCCAGGACCGTTCTCGAGAAATTTTGATAGTTTAGTTTATAGCAAAAAGTTCATCCTGTATATCGTGAGTGTGATAGGGAATTTTCAAGGGTCACAAACCCTAATCGACAGACCAATTCCGAATCGGGAGATTCCAGGACAGTTTTTGAAAAATTTCGATAGTTCAGTTTTTATCAAAAAGTTCATCCTATATAAATGGTTCTCGTAAACTGTCACAGGAAATTTTTAAAGCACACAAACAAGCATCAAAAATTATATATTCAAAATTCTCCTCACATTTTCACAGAATTTTTCAAAAAACTATAAATTATAAGCAAAAACTAAAGTTTGACAACAAATTTTATTCATTCGAAAATAATTACTTCGCAACATATTCTTTCATCTCGTCATTTCATTTTTTGTGGAGGGTAATAATCACCCTGTGGATCTTTTTCAAATCAGTGGATGGGGTACCTGTTCAGATGTTAATGGTCATCGATTCAAATAATTCAAGATAGTCGAACAGAAAATAAAGGTTACTCATAATTATTTTTCAAGACTTACACTGAAAAAGGAGGATAATAATTCTATACCTTTTCAACTTCAATTTCGGAATTGGTAAGTTATATTTCGGAAAAAGTAATCCCGATTTCAGAATTGGTTAGTTCGATTTCAGAAATGGTAAACTCAATTTCAGAATCGGTGAGATGAATTTCAGAGAAAGTCCATTCAATTTCAGAAATGTTAAGTTGTATTTCAGAATTGGTAGGTTCAATTTCAGAAAATAAATCCTTATATTTGTTTCAAATGTTTCCAATTGCATGTGAGATTAACAAACCATATTTACAATATTCAACTTTTGAAAAACAATTCAATAACATAATTATAATCTCAATATAATCCACAGATGTCTCCCATCCGAATCGCAGAAGGATAGTAGCGTTGCACATGATTATAAGAATGCAAACACATTTGAGGTGTTATCATTCTCATTGAATGATCTGCACATTCTTCAAGACATCGCAGTCTGAATTCTATCTGGTTGAGCAATCTGTTTGGATCCCCAGCTATGACCATTATTTGGCGATGCTCTTGCAAAAAGCTGTTCACTTCTGACTTGAAGGCACTCCATATATATTCAATCGGATTAAACATAGGGCTGTAAGGTGCCAATCTGTGAAATATAACATCTTGAAATTCTTCCTCCATGCATATCTCTTCTATTCTTGAATGTGCAGGTGCATTATCCAGAACTACCACTATGGTATCTGCAGGATGCCCATTTCAAACGCACACTCTCAAACACCGTTCCATCCACTGTAAACAATCCTCTCTTTTGCAATTGAAAACATTTCAAACATATATAGGGATTCATCTTCTGAAATTGAACCTACCAATTCTGAAATACAACTTACCATTTCTGAAATTGAATGGACTTTTTCTGAAATTCATCTCACCGATTCTGAAATTGAGTTAACCATTTCTGAAATCAAACTAACCAATTCTGAAATCGAGATTACTTTTTCCGAAATATAACTCACCGATTCCGAAATTGAAGTTGAAAAGGTGTATGGAAAATACGTGACCAAATCGAATAGATAAAACTGTGAATTGAAATCATAAAATTATTTATAGCTATAAAATTATTCATAGCGATGGCCATCAACATTTTCACCTCATTCACTGATTCCAAAAAGATCTACAGGGTGATTATTATCCTCCACAAAAAATTGAATTACTCAATCCTGGCCTGAAACTAAATTGATATTTTGATTTCCATTGAAATTTATAGTTTTTTTCAAACTGCAGTGAAAGTGTGAGGAAAATTTGAAATATTTTATTTTTGATGTTTATTTGTGACCGTTGAAAATTCCCTGTCACAGTTTAGAAAAACGATATACAAGTTGAAATTTCTCTACATACTGAACTGTCCAAATTTTTCAACAACGGTCCTGGAATTTCTCGACTCTCAATAAAACAGTCGATTAGAGAGTAGGTAGTAACGAAATATTCCATGAAAAAATCAGACGAATAGAAGAAGCTGTTGGAAAGTTATGACCAAAATATGTTTTTGCCAACTCTCATAATTCACCCTATATATTGGAAAAGAAATGTAGAAGACACTTCCTGATAGACATTCGGTATTTCCCTCAGGGGTCTCTTTTTCGTGGTAGGAGTATGTACAGTTCCTCATGACTCACCCTGTATAATCGAAAAAACGACGTATGAATAATCCTGGGCATCTTCTAATGGGAAATACCACTAAGGGATGCAATCCGTTCGAACCTCTTTGTTGAAGTTGGAGGGAATCGAATCTATATATCTTTTTGAAATCAGCATAATCCATTCGATATTCCAAGAAGCCAGATAAAGACAACAGGAAAAAAATGGGGGAATATCACAAAAAGTAAGTTTAGAGAAAAACGCATTTCAAAGTTTGAAACCTCCTTACGTTTTGAACCGTTTTGGACGGATTCGGAAGCCGAAAGAAACTGAAATAAAACCGCTTGGATTCATTTGATTGAGTAGAATGAGCAATTAAGTTGAACAACTAGAAATGAAAATCATATTTGAATGAAAAAATCATCGAATACAAAAAAAATAATCCAAAGATTCAAGGAAAAAATGGGAAATGTCCAAATAGATTATCAAAAAAAAAAGATTTACGCGCAAATATCTGCTCAGGTACATTTCTCCATTCTTGCCTGACTACCAAATGAGCGGTAAGTTGTCAAATAGTACATCTAACATCTCAATAATTTGATCATTTTCTAAAAATTCCACGTGATATGAGTGGGAATCATAACTCGTTTATACATGAAACGGCTAAGCTATGGCATTTTTTGCCAAGCAGAGTATTCCCAGAAGCTGAAAAAATGCCAATACCTACCTCCTCTTCCTGTCCTCCCAAAGTACCCACGATGTTCCCTGAACATTGTAGGGATTCCCTTTCGTACGCTCCAAGAGATGAAAAAAGGTGGCCGTTTCTCTTTTTCTTTTCATCTTTTGTTTGCCTGAGAATTCACTTTGACCTTCTGACAGTGTGAAAAAAACCTATTGAAATCACAATGGAATCTGTATTCAAGCAAGCACTAAGGTTGGACCTTCCCCTTTCTTCACATTTTTGAAGTGGACATTCCGCGTTCTTTTCCATGTGAACGTATTTTCGAACGAGCATATCAGCTGACTATGCTGCGTTATTGCCATGGACTTCTGTTTATACTAAAATATAGTGTAAAGGCTATCAGATGGTGGTGTCAAGTCAATGTCCACTATATTGTGACATTCCCCCTTTTTCCCCTGTGGTCTTCAGATATGAAGGTGAAGCCATGACGTATCAGTAGCTATCTCTTTCTCTGATACCTTGCCATTTCGTAGTGTTGCAGTGTGATTGGTCAGCCCATGGACAATGAGTGTTGGCACTAATACGTCACACCAGTCACACCAATGAATTGACAACATTCCAAATGGCGCAGGAAGTTGGTGTTTCGAACATATTCCAATTCACGTTTTTCATCATCCTCGTGTGAATGAAAAAAGGCAAAATTATCACTGATAGTTTTTGGGAATATAGAGCTCATGATGATTTTTTTTAAGTCAGGGGTCTCCCCAATTGTGTCTATTCGATGAAAAAACAAGCATCAATTCAAATTGTTCACCTTCTCGATCATGATATAGGAATTGACTTCCGAATGTTTGTTTTGCAATCAGGTCTATCTACACATAATAATAATTTTACCTTCCTGCGGGGTTTCAGTAATTTGTGAGTCAAACGGAGGACCTGGTTTCTTCACGTCTAGCCTTTCTGGTCTTTTGAATCCTAGATTGTATTTCTTCAGTAAGGTATCTAAACTATTTCTGAACATCATTTCACTTTCTACCTCTGAAAATAAAAACATATTCATAAAACATACCGGGTGGCTACGGAAGTATTGCCTACGGAATATCTCAGTTATTGTATGAAGTAGGTTTGTGAAATTTGGAGCGTCGATATAATGACATAAGAGCTAGAATTTGAGCATATTGACATAGTAACTTCAACTTGCTTATTTCAAATGGAAACCCTATTTTTTTTTCGCTTTATTCAGTATTCAATTCCCTTTCTAATGACATATCACAAGTTGATATCTAACCAGAAACTAGATCAGAAAAAAATTATTATTGAAATTCACCGAGTTGGCCGTGGAAGCAAAATGAAAGCCAAAAATTGAAAAGTTGGCTATGGAAACCATACGTCACTTGATAACAGTTGCTACTACTGTGATATTTCATTTTCATTCGTCGGCGTTATAAAAAGCCGCCAAAAAAATATTGGAAAAATTGGGAAAAAACAATACTTTGTAGGTCCATAACTTGAATAGGAACATACAACTTTTTCTTGCCGGTACTATTCAGCATAACCATTTCTTTCTAATGATATGATAGAAAGTCATTTTCTGGCTTCCATTTTGCTTCCATGGCCTACTCGGTGAATTTCAATTATATTTTTTTTCTGATCTAGTTTCTGGTTAGATACCAACTTGTGATATGTCATTAGAAAGGGAATTGAATGCTGAATAAAGCGAAAAGATAAAAAAGTAGGGTTTCCATTAAAAATAAGAAAGTTGATGTTACTTCCGGTCAGACCGGAAGTTAACTTCGACATGTCAATATGCTCAAATTCTAGCTCTTATGTCATTATATCGACGCTTCAAATTTCACAAACCTACTTCATACAATAACTGAGATATTCCGTAGGCAATACTTCCGTAGCCAACCGGTATAAGTGGTGACTGATAGCATAGTTTTGTCATGAATGCGAATACGCGGTTTCGTATATTTTATTAGCTATACAGCCTGTGAATATAATTTTTGAATAAGTGTATTCTCCGCATACACTTAACTTTTTGACAGAGTTTTTACATTCAGAGCAATATTTGCAACCTACCTACCTTGTCTATTGTCTTCTATGGGTGCAGTCCATACAACCCCTCCCTCAGAATACACCCCGGGTCTAACTTTCCTATCATCCTCTAGCTCCCTATCGTTAAATTTCCTACCAAGAAGTAGCTGTTTTTCCGATGGGTCTTCCCCCACATCTTCAGTTTTCCTTTCTCTGAAATTCGTATCTGCTACCTCGGGATGTCCACTACCGTGCTCTGAGTTTTCCTCATCGTTTTCCTCGTAATACATTCTCGATTCAGGTAAATAATAAGCGTCTCTCATAGTGTCTTTTGATTCCCATCCTTCTCTGAAACTATCCGGGGTGTTGTAGTTCAAATTGAACGTGTCGTCTACCAGTCGCCTTGTTTCCTTCTCTAGATCCAGCTGGTTCCTCATGTCCTCCTGGTTGTCAGTATAGGTAGACAAATCATTGTCGAACCTTTCCACTAAACCTTCTAATTGTTCGGCGTTTTCAGGCTGGAGTAGATCGTGAAGTTCTTTTGGAGTCAAACGTAGCTCGTTCAAGAATTTGATCAACGGGTACATTTCTGTGATGTCGTCGTACGTGAATTGGTTGGACACTGGTGGATTCCTGTTGGAGTTTCCACTGGGAAAGTCGTTCTGCAGGAATTCAAGATCGTCTCTGGCATCTCGGCGTCTGAAGTCGATCGATGGTGGATCTGGGAAGGTATTTGGTAGGGATCTTCGGCGCATTTGTGGAATCCAGGATCTTTTGAGGACTGCATAGTCGGCGTAAGGGTCTTGTATATCCACTGGAAACAAACGAGATTCAGACTTTCAGGCAGACAGATGAGATTTGATTAGTATATTGTTTTATTGTGAGTCAGTTCAGTGAAACATGAAAAAGCATCAAGGATGTATCAAACACGTGAAAAAGCCGTCACGGGTTTGTTGCAGACATATTACACTGGCGCCGAGGCTCTTGTTAGAACACGTGAAACTTCTTTCACATCTTGACGTATGCGATGCGATTGTTCACGTTTGCGCACCAAATGTAAGTGGCTGATAGGGACTGAGTGACGCAGTAATGGCATAGATGCACTACTAATCAGCAATAATCAATCGTCATGCTGCCATACGCTTGATATACTAGTCCAGCGAAATTTTGAATCAGCAAACGAATATATATATAAGGAAAAAAATATCCTTCCTGCAAAAGGAAAGGAACTACTTTTTTTAACAATAAAACCTAACTCGGCCTGGATGAACCTTCTCCCTAAAATGTATATTTTTCGGATAATTACGAGAGAGAACGAAGGCGACTACCGAGGCAAATACTTTTTATAAACAATCTAAGCTAACACGGCCTAAATGGATCTTCTTTCTATAAACTATATTTCTCGGAAAATTACTTGGGACAAAAAATACGAAATACAATGAAAAAATTCTTCGCTTGCACTGAACCCGAGCACTTATGCATGGCAGTCGGACACTCAGCTCGCTGTGCCAAGCGCTTAATTTTCCTGTTGAAAGAAAAATGCAAGAAAGATTTCAGCAAATCAAGCGTACGGTACTCCGAACGTTGTCGTACTACCGAGCATTCGATACATGCCGCAAAATAAGGGGGCACAGTAGATCATTCAGTGTGTAGACTGTAATGAAGTGTTTCTGATCCAGCTTCATTAGTAGACCGGATTTGATTACCTTTAAAGTACCTGAAACTTATTCTTTTTGAATTTCACCTGTTTCGAAACCCAGAAACCTCATAAATCTGAATAATTTGATAATTTTTTAATTCCGGAACTCATGCCTGACAGTGAACTCAGTAATGTATCATTACAACCCAGAAGACTTCAACATTTCTCATCCCATTGCTCATGATGTAATATTTAGATGAATGTTCACCTGATCATAACATTTTTGTTATTGTATATTTTCCGAGATATTTTCGATTCAAACTCATCAAGTAGCATGAGGTAGTAGATTATTCTCCTGTTTTCCGACAGAAATTTGTTTTGGTTTCTGCAAAGTGTATTTACCTCAGGAATAGACTTGAAGAACGGTTATTAGTTAACAATAAATTAGACAACCAGAAGTTCAGGCTGAATCCAGAGTTTGTAATCAGAGCCTACATTCTCTTGGCCCCTGGTCCATCAGGTCTGATCAATACCATTGAACCCTGGTTTACTGTAGCACAGATTAACAAACCTCATAAGCACCTCCCGGCAACTCCTGTGGCTTTCTTCACTTTCAAGCAACATAATTTGTTCCTCCAAATCGAATGGATTTGTATTTCGATAATCATCAAAACACCCTAAAAGTGGAGGCCTTTATAAGAATACTCACGGTCGATAGCGTTCGAGGGCAGGATCCTCTCCCTGACCTCCTCCTGAGGCCTGTTCCTGAGCGGCGGGAAGTACACCTCATCGGCGTACGAGGCGTGAGGATCGTCCACGCTGGGCGTGTACTTGATGATGGCGACCTCCTGTGGATCGAGGTCCACCTGGCCCTCGATGGCCCTCAGCGCGCCTTCGAGATCGTTGTCGGAGAGATGGAAGCAGGAATCGGGCTCGAATGTGATGCTTGGGGATAAATAAGAGTTATTGACTTTTTCCATGAACAGGCGCTTGTCGTGAATTTTACGTTATCTGTTTTCTTTATTCAAACGGTATTTTTTCCACTTATACTTATTTATGGAACGATTTGCACGAATTTTGTTTCGAACTATATAGGGGGAAAAGGGTATCTTAGCTGAGTGGCGTTCATTTCTTTAAATCAAGGCCTACTAGATGACATTTAAAGGCTGAAAAATCCACTGGAATAGATTTGTACAAAGTTTCATGACAAAATTGCACCATTGGTAGCGGTATGAATAGATAGATAGATCGATAAATAATTTATTTAACCATGTTATGTCATATACATGTACGGCAGGTCATTTTTGCAAATACCAATAACATTAACTCTAATGTAAATAGGTACTATACAGGGTGATCCACGGTGGATGGCCTATTAGAAGTATCTGATGGAGAACGGAGAGACAGAACATTCTGAGTATTGGGATGCTTTGATAATTGAACAATCTCTATCCGTCTAAAATATTTTCATCGATACAGTGTTGCCACTTCTATCAGAAACAACTAGCAATATGTTATTTCAAATGGAACACTCTGTATTTTATTGCATTTTTAGATTCTTCCTGAAGAGCTGATTTCATGAATGTATCACACTTGGGGTCTAGCAGGAATTATCACAGAGATATAGGGTGTTCAAAATCGAGATTTTTCAATTTTAGGATTTTTTTGTGTCGAAACTATTCATTATCGATCAGAACGGCTAACATGTCCCTATCTTGACTTTTGATTCACTATCTACTGACATTTAATGCGGATTTAAAAAAAATGTATTCTGGATTTTCCAGCCTCTGAATCTAGAAGGTCTTGGTTTGTCGAAAATATGGACACTGCTTACTTCCAATATACACCTTTTTCCTCGACATTTTCCCATCTACATTTGAGAAAAGTCGTGAAAATCGCTCCATGAATGAAAAATTAATGAGGGTAATCTGCTTTCAAAGGAGTCACCCTGTATGTTAAAAAAATTGCTGTGTGGGTATGAAAAAGGATATAATTATATTACAGTACTTTCTTCCAGCGTGCGCACTGTGAAGTTTCTCTTGAACAGGCGCTTGTTTTTATCAAGTTTTCTCGAAGGTTATGCTCATGGGATAATCACGGTTTTTGGTTATTTTGAGGAAGCTTGAACCATCTTAGTCTTATTAACGTGACTCGAAATCTAAAATATTTACACTTAAGTCATCAGAATGTAATCCATTAGAATAGTATTGAGTAGGAAACGTATTCGAACATAACAGTTATATTCATCGAAAACGTAATTCGTCGCAGCAGTGAAATTTTGGATTCTTATTTTTTCAAAACAGTGCTCCATAGGAACTCTAATTCTTCGAGAAATTAATTTTTCGGAACCGTATTTCATAGTGACAGTAATTTTTCAGAACCGTATTCCACCGGAAAGGTATTCTATCAGAACCCTATTTCATCAAAACTGCTTTCTATTGGAACTGTAGTCCATCGGAATATTAATTAATAGGAACCGTATTTCATAGCGACAATAATTCATCAGAACCGTTATCTTATCGGTAGTATTTCGTAGCGACAAAATATTGAAATTTTACGGAAAACTTCATTACAATGTCTATTCTATGCTGGTGTTCTGTGATTCTCTGTGTTTACGATAGAGTACCGTAATAATATTCTGCTACAATACGGTTCCCATGAATTGCGATTCCTTCGAAATACACTTCTGATGAATTATGAGTAAGTCTTCTGATTCGTCACTACACATATTATATTGAAATGATACTAATATTTCGTTCTGTAAATACGAGTAAAGAAAATCGCAAAAATCTAGGGAAATATGAGTTGTTATCATTTTTCTAATTGTGAGAATTGAAAAATAACTAACTGATGACTTTCAAATTGTTTATTCGGCTTTCAGACGTTACTTTCATAGGTAACCGAGTAGGCCACACAACTTTCAATGATTTTGTCGAAAAAAACAACAGTTTTCTTGATAAACCGCAGCCCACTCATTACAAAGACTGAAACACATGATTTACCTTAGTCCCTATAATGGCTGGAACATAATATCTGACACAATGAGAGTGAAGTTAGCCACATCCACAAAATACACCGAGGAAAATTTATCGCCGAAAATGTGTTCAACAATTTCACCCGATTTCAGATGGAACTTAAACGCATTTCATAGAACGACTGAAAGGGGGTGAGAGGCTGAGTCAAATTTGATAGGAAGGTGGTGAATCGATAGTTTGTCAAGTCGTCTAAAGGGGAAGAAAAGAGGTTGAAAAAAAAACTCATCATCTCAGTTAATACTCGTTGTACATGAATTTCGAAGACGGTAATCGAATCTACTCATCGGATTTGATTCCAGCCCGCATTCCAGTGCTCCAGGATCTTTGATACTCACTCATTTTTTACAGCATACAGCATCGTCTGAAGACGGCATTGGGTGTAACCGTGGCTCCATCTGTAACCGAGTGCGAACAATCGACGAAGCTCGGCGCTAAGCTCATGCAAACTCTGCCGCTCCAAATCGAACCTGTTGATTGTGAAAATGTCGGGTAAGTGTTCGATTATCACTACACCTTTATCAATTTCAGTTCATAAATGGTGAATTGTATTTCCAAATTGTCATTTTGGATTACAAAAAGCATAATTTGCATTACAAATTAGTCAATTTAATTTTGAAAAGGAAAAATGTGATTCAAAAGTATCAATTCAATTTCAAAATGCGTCAATTGTATTTCAAATTGGTCATTTTATTTAAAAAAATGACATTTCAAGTTCCGAAGTAATCATTTGTATTTCAAAAAATATCTAATGTGTTTCTTATTGCATAATTTGTGTTTCAAAACTGAAAAAGCACAAGCAAAGGTTAGATTGGCGTAAGGTGATATTTTCATTCATGTTTTTCGTTCACTGGGCCAGAACCGGTAATCGGTATAGCAATTATAGCACTGCCAAGAATGTTATAACATCCTCGGCCAACAAAAGGCTCGAGTATTGGCGTACTCTACCGGCCTAGCCCATTCCAACGCTTTCATTGCTTGTACAAGGAATAAACAGGACTCTGACAAACTACTAGAACACATCTCAGAGTTAAAGTAGGTTTGCCGAAGGTTTGCTCACTGGCTACTGCAAACTTAAACACCACATGCACGAAATCGGACTTGCACAAATGTCTCGATTTGCTGCCACGATCAGTACTTGCGTTACGTTACGTTATTGAATCTATAATCAGGGGTTATACGTACCTGTATAAATCATCCTCGTCTACATCGCCCATGGGTCTCAGACACCTTCCGAATGCCATGTCTGCGAAAAATCACAAAGAAATTGTACCTAAAAAGTCGTAGAAATTTTATTTACTCAGTCCTACATCCAAAACGACACAAATCCCTGCTCGAAAGATTTGATAGTGTTTGTTGGTGTCATAAATATTCATCTACAAATCTAAGACTTGACTTTGGTCGGTATGTTCCATCAACGGCAGTAAATATTATATAGGTATACAGTATAGTGAAGTACTGAATTAATTCAGTAAGCCAAACTATAAATTTCAGAGGAATCTCCTGCAGCAGGTCAATTTTTATTTTCAATTTGCGACATTTATAAGGGAACATTGAATATACAGGTTGATCTAGTGAACTAGTGGACGAATTCGTTAACACTTAAACCTTTCAGCCCCCCTTTTTTTTTAATAAACTGAGCTAGGATTGTGGATTTTGAGTTAGTTTTTGGTCATTCATGTCCCACTGGTAGAAAATGTGAAAAGAATTCCAAGTATTGTCGAATATTTATTCAATATTATAATTTCGCAGTTCTATTTATGATATGGCGAAGTGGTGCCCGCGAGAGTCTCGTTTCCGAGAGTCTCGCATGGTATCGTCTCGTTTTCGAGACAAGACTCGAGACGAGACTCGGACAAGACGAGACAAGACTTTTATTGGTCTCGTCTCGAGTCTCGTGCAAGACTTCTCGTGTCTCGTGCGAGAGTCTCGCAGGTAATTATTTCTGCCTGTCGACTCCAGACTTGAGAATTTCATTCGTTATACTATTTAGACTATTTAGCACAGATAGATAGAATATTTCATTCATAAATACTGTGAAAATACAATCCATGATTGTTGTAAAACGCGACGTAATGCGTGAAACGAAAATGGACTATTCTCTCTCTTACGGCGGCGGAATATAAAGGCAATTCTGCAATAATGACAGATCGTAAATTGAATGACTACCTGAAAATCTATGAAAAGTCATTATGTGCTAAATAATATAAGATAAAGAATAACTTTATATCTTAGCGACTGGGTGAAAAACAAAAACATTTGCGATCGTGAAGGCTGATCTCACTGATAAAGGTTTTTTTCTTATTTTTATAACTTTCGTATATATAATGCTATGTTTTTTTTTCTTGTTTAGATGTATGATGTAAATATGTAACTATTAGGTATTCACTTTTCAATAAATAATGATATTTTTGTTGTAATTTTCTCTTCCTACTTCTACATTATACCTAAATATAGGTAAAAGTAAATATCCCGTACTAGACTGGAACAAGATTATGCATGACGAAATTGCGATACATTTGCGAGACTCTCGTACGAGACGCGAGACAAGACGTGACTCGAGGCTGCGAGACGAGACTCGAGACAAGACTTCATATTTCATCGGCGAGACGAGACGAAACTTTATGAACGTCTCGTCTCGTTGGTCTCGTGTGAATCACTAATATGGCGTGAAACAGTGTCTGCAAAGTGGTACCTACTTGAAACATTCTGCACATATGAACTATCAAACTATTATAAATGCATAAGAATAATCACCTACCTACCAACCCAAAAACTCGATGAAAATGAAGAGAAACAGATATAAAATAATCAGTACAATCCGCGAGGAGACGCCGTCTTGAGAATTCTGTTTCATTTTGATGCTTTTCCACTAAAGCAAACACTCAGTGAAATAGGAACATATTCATACCAGTAAATATTTATAAACTTACAGTGGGGCATGAAAAACCCCGATGGGGCTGAAAGGGTTAAAGGAATAATTTTTGGAATTAACGTTCAGAGCCGTGGAATTTCACGTTCATTCAGACACTCTTTCAAATTCGAATAATACGCATATATAGAGAATAATTCTTGTAGGAGAAATCACGCCATCGGTATTTTTTCAATGGCAATTCCATTTCTTGATAGCACTGTATATATTCAATACAAATATTTTAATGACATATTCCTGGGGTCAAAATAAGACTTTTTTTCCTATAAACATGTGTCCTAAAATCCACCCTCTCCAAGCTACAGACATCGCAAGATGCGCAAAAAAAATCTTAAATTTTGAATTGTGGCTACAATTATGCATCAAATATTTTGAAAATTCACAGGTAATAGGGGAAACAAAGTGAAAAGTCATAGCCCTCTAGGTATTTTTGTTTGTTACTTCAATACACCCCTTTCATTCACTAGCGATTATCTCTAAAACGGTTAGCTAATTCAAGAAAATGCAAGGGACTGAGATGTATGATTTTTTAGTGGCCAATTCAACGATGATGTTTGAATTCAAATTTTTTTGGAGGAAATAGAAAATGTTTGCCATCAAATCTGTATGCAACCCTCATTCACCCCTTACCTTATTTTTGAATCAAGAAATGAATAGATCGTCTAAAAATACAAGTGCCTGTGAATTTTCAAAATATTTGATGCATAATTGTAGCCACAATTCAAAATTTAAGATTTTTTCGCGCATCTTGCGATGTCTGTAGCTTGGAGGGGGTGGATTTTAGGACACATGTTTATAGGAAAAAAAAGTCTTATTTTGACCCCAGGAATATGTCATTAAAATATTTGTATTGAATTATGTAACACCCTGTATAGTTTTGCATTTAGCCTTCCATGAAGATTCTAAAAACTCAATATTATGATGTTCCATTTGGAACAACTGTAGCGGACTTCATAACCCAAACGTGGATCACCCTGTATATCTAATTTTCCCTTAGAAATTTGACAAATCGAACATTGAGACCGATCTTGTTCAGGAAATTCCTCTGAAATGGATAGTTTGGCTAAAAATTAATGTATTCATTACTTTACGAAAGCACTCAATTCAACATACGCACTGTATAGAAACCCATTGTTCGATATATTACTGAATTATGGATGGAGATCCAAAAAATTGAACAACATATAGGGTGTTCCATTTGAAAAAATTAACACACACGTCTTTTGAAATTGAAAACAAAAATCGACCTGTTCCAGGAGATCTCTCAGAAACAGATAATTTGGATTGAAATGAATTTATTCAGTATTTTTCTTACATCATTTATTCAACTCACCATCATAGCACCATTCCTGGTCCAAACATAGCTTCTCACCAAACAAACAACCTGAAAAAATATAACTTCAGTGAATCTAAATTCAACCCCCTGTATATCCTCCTCAAAGTAGCGGGATAGAGAGAACAAGAAAGACGGAGAAAGAGTATGTTTATTGAACTTTTCATCTTGAAATCCGAGGTAAAATCTGGGTTATCCCTCGTATCTATAAATCAATTTTGTTGGTTCAAAATAGGACGTGAATCTCAATAATGACTCTTTCAGCACAATAAAAAAGACAGCTTCTATTTCTTTCCAAAAATGATTCTCTTATTGTCTCGAGAGCTGTGTTCGAGGAAGCAGTTTCGAACATTTGTTTGCACTTTGCACTGATAACAACTCACTTCCAGCTCATTTTCAACCATCAAGAATAGTACATTATATACCGCGGGACTGAAGTAGTACATTTAATCCTGAAGGTAAAGTTTATGGCCCGACCGCAGGGAGGGCCATAATTTACCTGAAGGATTAAATGTACTTCAGTCGCAAGGTATATACGATACTTTTCGTACTTCTGGTATGATTTTATTAATTATTTCAATAATTTCAATCAGTTTTTTCTCTCTTCAACTCATTTAATAAACTGTCTTTAAAATAAGTTACCATAGTAACATTGCGTTGTGACAGTTATAATTTAGAAACATTGTCATTACTAGTGTCATTGTAAAGAAACATTGTTATTGATAATTATTGGTATCATGAGTGAAGAAGGTGTATCTGATATTGATAAAAGAGCAGCCGAAGTAGGTGAAGAATTGTTACCACCGAAATCTAGAAAACTATACGAGCAGCAGTACGATGCTTTTAAAAAGTGGTGCCGCTTAAAAAATGTGAGACAACCTACTGAAAATGCGCTGTTAGTCTACTTCGATGATAAATCAAAAGCGGTTTGTGCCTCAACTCTCTGGGCACATTACTCAATGCTGAAATCGGTTATTAACATTAGAGAAGATATTGATATAAGTAAATTTCCAAAATTATTAGCTTTTTTGAAGAGAAGAAATGAGGGATTTAAGCCAAAGAAGTCAAGAATTCTCACGTCTGAGCAGGTAGATCAGTTCTTACGGGAGGCTCCGGATGATAAATATTTAATGCTTAAGGTAAATTTGGAAATTTGTTTATATTCAGAAATTTTAAGAAATCAATTTTTTTGTAGGTTGCACTTATTTTGGGCGTTGCGGGAGCTTGTCGTGGAAAAGAGTTGGTTGATTTAGAAATCGACGATGTGAGAGATTTGGGCGATTCCTTCCTAATTGCGATTAGAAACACCAAAAATAAAATTGACCGAAATTTTGTGATCAAAAATTCAGAAAACAGTGCCATCAGTTTTGTGGCGATATTTCGGAAATATTTGGTATTGCGAAAGACAGGGACAACTCATTCAAAATTTTTTGTTCAATACATCAACAAAGAATGTACTACGCGAGTAGTAGGAAAAAACATGTTTGGTACATTTCCACGGCAAATAGCAGCTTTCTTGAAATTAGAAAATGCGACGTCTTATACGGGACATTGTTTTAGACGCACATCTGCGTCTTTGTTAGCTGATTCGGGAGCAACAATAGACGTGCTGAAGAGACATGGAGGATGGAAATCCTCCAACGTGGCCGAGGGATATATTGAATCGTCTATTAAAAATAAACAAAAAATTTCAGATAAAATATTTGGTCAAGTCGCCGATTCGTCCACTATAGTTATGCCACAGTCCTCATTCTCGCTTCCTGTTTCCGCAGGATCTTCGAAACAAACACCAGTTCAATATGAAAAGGACCTATCTGTTACTCGTCAGTTACCTGCTGCATTAACCCAGGAAAGACTGGTCAATATGACGAACTGTCACAATATTAATTTGAATATTAACGTTAATTACCATTCTAATTAATTATATTTTTCAATAAAATATCCCCTAAATTCGTTTGTTTGTGATTTAATCGTTCCGGGAGTTTCGTCAATATTTAATCCCGGAGGGATTAAATGTGACACTTTAGTACCTGTCACAAGGGAGTGAAGTTGTCACTTTAGGCCCGGAAGTACGAAAAACATGCTTTGGAAGTAACGGCAGGAGTTGCCTTGGAAACAAGTCAACGAGAAATTCATTCAATGATAAATTGAATCAGAGGAACGTTCTTTCATATACAGGGTGTCCCATAAATAATGGATCAAAAGAAGTGGGGTGGTAGGGGGGATCATTTGTAATCAAACTAACAGTATATCATCTGAGTCGATCCATCTTGCAGTGGAGTGAAGATAATGGGGCAGGAAGAAAATCTTACAGTCAACTCCACCAAAACTATACTTTATTAAAATTAGAAATTGGGGCATGTTTCGAGGCTTCAAAGCTTCATCATCAGCAATATTGTTACAGGAAGTACTACAATAAGAAAGACAAAAACCTCGTCAGGCAGAGTATTCAAATAAATAAATTTAAAGAATCTGTTCTGGAGAAAATCCACATGTTGAAAAACAAAAAAATTATGGTTTACATATCATTACAAATTGAAATGTGAAACATTTAACAAAACAGGAACCGCAATTAACTGCCAACCATAATTTTCTTTGCTTTTCAACATGTAAATTTTCCCCAGAACAGGTGTGGATTCTTCTAACTTTATTCATTTGAATACTCTGCCTGACGAGGTTTTTGTCTTTCTTATTGTAGTACTTCCTGTGAAAATATTGCTGATGATGAAGCTTTGAAGCTTCGAAACATGTCTCAATTTCCAATTTAAATAAAGTATAGTTTCGGTGGAGTTGACTGTAAGATTTTCTTCCTGCCCTAACGGTATATGTTGTTATCAAATTGTTGATGATTCGAAAGTTATTAAATTTTTCTGAAAAATGCGACTTGTGAATTTCTAACTCTCCAAATAAAAAAAACTACATGCTGTTACATTTACATGTCTCCTGTGTCACTCGGAATAGGAATCGTTGAGTGAGTTCCAACATGGAGCAATATTTTAGCCCACCTTCAGAAACAGTGCTAAAAACGTAATAATGCTGATCAAGTTATTTCCTCATCAATCTCCTTTTGTATAGACAGCAAATCTTTGAAAATTACTTCTCCTGTGACCTATGACCTTTAAATTGAGTCGTTCTTCCAGGAAACTGATTAAGGTAGCAGTCAATTAAGATCTATTTTGAACGTCTGAAGAAGTGGGTAGATGCATAGCCTGAACACGAGAAAACATATACATACTGTGTGGCCTAGTATAATTAGAGATATGCAAGGAAAATCTCGTACTGTTGGTTGTGAAGGTTATATCTTTTGTTATCTGAAGAATCTCCATATGAATGCAACGGTACCAGTTGTACATCAAACTCGTTACAGTATCTTCATTTTTGATAAGATACCATGCACATATTATATATGTATATTCAGGCTTATTATATGCGATTTTTGGTTGAGGAGGAGTCAATCCAGTGAATCTGATGCATTGCACTACAAAATACGTCTATGCATTTTTTATCACGAATCGATATAGGCATATAGGAGTACTGTCACGAACTATATTTCCGGCAAATCCATGGTTACAGTAGTAGTAGTAGTAGTAGTAGTAGTAGTAGTACTAATATGGGTTTTTTCCTGTAAATTGAAATACACGATCATTTCTATGAATTCAGACCAACCCTGAAGAGCAAGAGACGTGATGATTGAAATCCAATGTTTGGATTCCATCTTCTCTGTGTCGAGGTAAACAGTTTCTGGTATAGAATATACAGGGTTTCAAAGTTTAGACATCCTCATTCATGTCAACTCATCTATCAAAGTTTTCGAGATATGTTCATTTTTCTGAAAATAATTACCGCCATCGAGTTATTCAATAAAAACCAAGAAATCAGTGATACATTTTCTTCGTGTATACGGTTGTGTTATCTAAGCCGCTATCAAAGCTTTCGCATCTGAACAGTATGTGGCATAGATGCCTGAAGGATCAAAAGATATCTTGGCAAACTGAGGCATTTTTAGATATTCATTAAATAATGTTTTGAAGGTTTAGGAAATGCCTGAATTACTCATCCATTTGAGAGATGAAGAAGTGTAATCTCTCAAATTCAGGCATTGTATTTACTGTGCTACAAAAGAGAACTATCACTGTTTTTTTGAAATTGACGCTGAGTAACATGGAATTGAACCAATTTATTACATTATTGAAATCATATTCCGCTATAGTTTTCAACTCTTTCCAAGAGGATTTTTTGTAGAAGATAACCGTATCGTCAGCAAAGCTGACAATTTCACCTTGAATCTCGAGACTAAACAATTAATTAAGGTATATGTTGAAGAGAAGTGGACCTAGTACTGTACCTTGAGGTACTCCATATTCTACTATGTATTCACTACTCAATGAATCTCAAATTCTCACCGACTGTTTCCTGTTCGACAAATAGCTTGATAGTAATTCAAATGCTTTACCTTTAGAACAGAAGATGCCCTTCCTAACATCAATGTTGGTTCATTTGTACATATAGGGTAAGTTAAGTTTTTCTTTGATTGTTATTCATTTCCAAGAATAAATGTGTATATGTGTTGTTTGAATACCGTTTTGAGTATTATTTATTATCACTTTTAAAGCTCATTCTCTAATGGATCTAGAACACAACTTAGGGGTTTTTGAGGGTTTTGTATGGAAATCTCGCCGTTTGTGAAGTTAACTAACCTCGTAACTAACTGACCAACTTACCGACATTTCCTTCAGCCTTGATTCCCGGAGGTATTGTTGCTGCCAAGAATAGCACTGCAATCCTCAGCGATACGCCAGGCCACAGCATGGCCTAGAAATAATAAATACTAATAAATAGGATTTTCTTACGACGGCGTATTAGCGCCACAATAACCTATTAATTTTTTATCAGAATCTCAAAATTTTGAGATTTTTTCTCGAATTTGTTACCTACATGATAACAACATTGTGTATGTTTGCATTCAGTTATAAAGTGGTTGTGCTTTGCGAAAGTTCCTCACCTCACCTAGTAGACCTATTTATGTGTTAAATGGAGAACACTAATATATACCAATGAACTAATAAAGAGATATTTCTTCCTTGGTTTGAATTACCATGAAATATTACAATGTTTGCAGTTAGTACATAACAACGACATCAGCAGAAGAACATTACAAAGACGATTGAAATCCTTGGGATTGTATAGAAGGAAATTTTATACGAATGATCATGAGTTTCTTTCCTCTCTCAATAAAGAAATTGACGTTTCTGGACAATTGCATCCATCACTTTCATCAGCTTTTGCTGTGAATATCTTATGGATATCCATAAGATACACTACACTGTTTTACCACTAACCAAACCGATTTTTTAACGCCTCGACACGTGTTTCGCTAACTATGTTAGCATCTTCAGGAGAAGATTACCAGTTTTAATCTTCTCCTGAAGATGCTAACATAGTTAGCGAAACACGTGTCGAGGCGTTAAAAAATCGGTTTGGTTAGTGGTAAAACAGTGAAGTGTATTATCGTGCCAAAGGTTCCAGTCTTCGATATATCCATAAGATATCTACTGAAGGATATCCATTTCAAATCCTTCAATGGATATCTCATGGATGTCCATTTCAAATCCAGTAGGAAAACGAAGAATCAGTTCTATTTCCAAAAGGTTCAATCCATGTTCGGACATGCACAAAAGAGAGAAATTGACACTATGAAGAACAATCTTGCGGATTGAACTCATTCGTGATTGCTGTGAATATCTCATGGATACCCATAAGATATCCATTTCAAATCCTTCGATGGATATCTCATGGATGTCCATTTCAAATCCAGTAGGAAAACGAAGAATCAGATCTAGGACTGCTCTCGTTTTCTTTGTTGTTTCAATTTATATAGTGCACCTATATCATGCACTTCACACTTCTGATATCTACCTACTTTCAACTCTATAATTGACAATGCAGTATTGTAACTGAATACACGCATTCATAATGTGGATTATTTTGAGAAAAAATCTCAAAATTTTGAGAAAAAATCTCAAAATTTTGAGAAAAAATCTCAAAATTTTGAGAAAAAATCTCAATATTTTGAGAAAAAATCTCAAAATTTTGAGAAAAAACCTCAAAATTTTGAGAAAAAATCTCAAAATTTTGAGATTCTGATAAAAAAATTAATAGCTTATTGTGGCGCTAATACGCCGTCGTATTTTCTTGAAACAAAAATCAACCCACATTATAAGTCATATGATACTGTGATTGAAGTATCTAACATGCCCGTATTGAACGTGTTATGCTCAATGAATGGGGAAGTTTCCTACATTGAGGTTCTCATCTCCCTGTGAAGTTTGTAAAAAATCAGTATACAGGGTGAGTCATAACTATTGGGACATGGGCTAAGGGCGGATTGTTTGGACCAAAATATGGCGATAGGACTAAATATGCCACTATAGAATATTGCTGTGGAAAAAGATACAGGGCGTTGAAGTTGAATTTTTATTTTCGTTTTTTGCCAATAATTTCACTGAATATTCATCAATTCTTATCAAAATTGGCACAGAGGCATAATTTCATACAGGGAATATTATTCTATGAACTATTCTACTTTTTGATACAGGGGACGCCACGTGAATGATTCTTGATTTTGATTGAAAAATATGACCGAAACATCATTTCTACGTAATATTGGTACTCATGTTTGAACACGATCTTTTCATCCGTTTTCGAGAAAAACGCTATTGAACAGTTCAGAGTCTCAGAAGTTAATTACAAATATTATTTTATTCATGAAGAGTGTGCTTTGAACTGTCAGATAATGTTGCTGGTAATGGCATTTCTTGTCAGAGAATGAATTTTGGTGCGAGTTTATAGTCAAAATTTTTCTGATCGAAATGCCTCGTCACAATCATTTTATGAATGGATAAATGCGGGATGCAACCAGAAGGTATGAATTGTAATATATCTAATATCTAGACAGAAAGCAACTAAATCACAAAACTTCTTCAAATATATTCTATATACAGTGAAAAAATTATTAGCATAAAACCGAAAAAATCAACTTTAACGCCCTGTATCTCTTTCCACAGCAATATTTTATTAAGGCATGTTTGGTCCAATCGCCATATTTTGGTCCTAACAATCCGCCCTTAGCCTATGTCCCAATAGTTATGACTCACCCTGTATACGTATTTTTTCTTTTTTCAAGATCAAATTTCACTTCATAAAAAAATGAATAAGAAAGGAACTTGGCTCCTCCACCATTCCTATGACGTACCTTCTGAAAATCCACATTCACACAGAGTTAAAATACGATTCCCTGTGCCAGAACGACGTTGCCGACATCATCTTTATGCCTAGATTTCCGGAAATTGTTCTTTGAATGCATAATAACTATATCATACCAGCAATGGAATATAATATGTTCTTCAATCCTACTTTGTCAAGTATTATGAATAAATCCCATAAATATCTCATTGGATGAATAAAGTTGATTACAAATAAATATAAATCATGATATTTTGCGATAGTATCTATAATTTTTCACTACCGTTATATTAGTTATATTACAATATGTTATTCATAACTTGTCAGTCATTTTGTTGCTAATGGATTCGTCCCTTAATAAAACGGATCTATCTTCTAGGAAAGTTGCAGATTATATCTTGCAACAGTGCCAAATACTTCGAGTCCGTCCACACCACTCAAAATACTGACAGGCACAACAAGAGGAAGGAGCTATGGGTATCGGCTTCATTCTGTTCTGACCGATGACAGTAAATTAGGAAGGATAGTATATCATTGAATGTAGCTGATAGTGACTCATTGATTCAATGATAAATTTGGTTAGGATCGAACTCTATTCGAGATATTTCAATGCATAAATAACAAAACATAACCTGTCAGAATGAAGCCAACTACCCTCTGCATTCCTGCTCCGAGTGCATTTGTGGTTATGTATGTTTTTGTTTACCAGTTTTACTTCTATTTTTTTCATTCGTTAGCTAGCCGTTAGCTATTTTCAGACTAGATTCAGAGTTTGCCGCCCCAAAAATTTGAAATTGCTTTAATTTTTTAAGTGAAAACGACTTTATCGGTCGCCATTCTGTACAGCGTGGACATAAAACTGGAGAGTTCCGAACTTATTTCATGAAAATTCATCTGAAGGAAATTTCCCCATTGGTATAGGTATTGGTAGATATGGATGGTGACAGATGCGCTGCGACCTGATTAGATCGTAGTTGATTAGATCTATTGTACCCCATCTTCTTCTTCCTCTATCTCAAGGTTTTCTTGTCTATAACAGTGTCAATTGTTTTGTCAGAAATTTGAAGATTCTGAGGGGATCTGTTCGTGGTATTTCTGCCACGATCAGCTGATATCCTCACAGTATATTCGATATTTTGTGATGTACCTACAGCATCACACTTCAGCAAGATGTGGTAGGGTATTTCTAAATGTTTCCCGCAAAATCTGCAGGTGCTGTCCTCTAAGCCTAGCTTCCTTAGATGTTCGTGTCTACAATGCCTCGTTAGAAATCCCGTTATTGGCTTTAGTTTAATTTTGCTGAGGTTAATCAGTACCTTCGACCGTTCTCGATTGAAATTTCTGAGATCTTCGACCTGCCGCAGTTCTGAAAGTATTCTCCAGTGTGTTACGCTCATCAGTCTCACTGCTTCTTCAGATTTATGAAGTTTTTAGTGGAAATAAGATTTATTCTCAAGGCCATAGAATGGTTCCGGTCCAATAAGTCGCGTTGATGCTTCTTTCCGTGCCATAAGAGGATTACCTTATTAATGCTGCCTAGATTATTGATAGGCATTCCCAAACCTTACGTTTTGATGGCTTCTTGGCTGTCGGGGAGGAACGATTACCTTTTTCCGGAATCTTCCATCGGGGTTTAACTGAATGCACCTTCCTAAGGCGCGAATTTTCACTTGAAAAACCCTGGAGAACTATATTGGGTCGGAATATTTAGTGCACGGCACAAACACCAAACACCCCTGCTCCAGTTTTCTCGGGTGTTTTAGACCTTTCCGTATATCCTATGGTATTCTTTCCCAGTGCTCGGATGGATTCTGTGTGTACTTCCAGTGTGCAGTGAATCCATCACGTTATGTGTTGGTACCGGCCTTTCTAACCTGAAATGTGCTCCCCAAGCAGTTCTCCTCACCATGATGTGGAGGGGCGTGGAGTCCAGAATGACGTCTTGTTGGAGTCGATCATATTGCTCCTGTTATACAAAGACATGCTAGTCTCTGTACCTTCTATAACATTTTTCTTTTTGCGGCGAATTCGGTTCTAATGGGTCTCACTATCATGATGTAGAGTCAACGCAGTATTAATGGGTTGCAACCCCATGTATTTCCTGCAATATTCCTGCACACCATCAGTGGTGATTTCGCCTTGATGGCAATATTTTTTACGTGTCGATTCCAGGGAAGTTTTGCCTCTAGGATGAGACCCAGATACTTCACCTCTTGCTGCCATTGTTAGTCTACTCTGTCGAGACGAACAGTCCTTAAGTTTTGCCTCTAGGATGAGACCCAGATACTTCACCTCTTGCTGCCATTGTTAGTCTACTCTGTCGAGACGAACAGTCCTTAAGTGCTGTTGTTTTGTTCTTCTGGTAAAAGGTATCACTGTGGTTTTTGATGAGTTAATTCTCAACGCCACTAATAGGCACCACTTTCTCAATGAAACTTCCACAAGATTATCCATCGGAATCCTGTTAGACTAATCAATTCGTATATTCAAACTCATGAAATTGTTGTCCCGATTCTGAAGTCATTCGGATTGACCAAGGTATTCACAACACATTTCGCTAGCGAAAA